TGCATAGCACCTTGGGGTCAAAGAGTTAGTACAGGGGGGTAAGGCACTTAACCATTGGGGATCAGAGACTGGGATACTCAGGGGAATGAAGACAGATCAGAGTGTCCAGGAGGGCCAGGGCCCTTCCCAGTTCAAAAAAATTTAAAACTCTGAGTACACCTGGATCTTGGGAAACCTTAGATTGTTGAGTTGATTATCCAACCTACCAGCAACTCTAGAGCAATGTCTACTGAACTGCCTTGACCATTTTGGGTCTGGCTTCTCACTGGTCAAAATAGCCCATTTATATAACAAGAGCAGAGGTACCATGAAATGTATATATATATATAAATTATAAATAAATATATATATTTGTGGGGGGGTCACACCAGTGATGCTCAGGGACTATTCCTTACTCTGTGTTCAGGAGTGACCCTGAGAGTGCTCAGGAGACAATATGTGATGCAGGAAATAGAACAGGGGTGAGTTGCATGCAAGGCAAGTACTGATTCTTTGACCCTAAGGTGCCATGAGTTTTATACTGCAAAGTAAAGCATTAAGAAATGCGAGGAAATACTTTTTTTGACTACATATTTCTGAGTTTTGAAAATTTACCAGCAGCTGCAAGAAATCAGCAACTAATACCAAACTTCTGCCAACATATCCAGGCTAGAAGGATGTTCAGTACATGTTCTGTAAAGATAGATTCTCAGGGTGGCCAGTTACAAAGAAAGTGTTATCACATGCACTTGAAATATGACTAAGAGATAGTGTTAGATAAAAGCTTTTAGTGTCTGCATTCTTTTTCTTTCTGTTCCCTCTTATTTCGAAACAAATGTATTAATATCATTCTAAGATTAATAGCAGCTGCTTGAGTAATGTGAGAGTAGGGAAAATAGAATAATATGAGGCAGCAATGATTGCCATATAATGAGGGACAAAGGCAGAGCACAATATTTTATAGTTGACAGGCACCATTAGTACTTTTCTCATGTGAAATTAGAAGAGGAAAAAAGTGGATAAGGAAATGCATTATCTCATGCATTATATTTAGAGGACCTGATTTGATCCTTATCGGTGCAAAAAAACCAAAACCAACCAACCAAACAAACAAAAACCCATAAGAAACAAGCAAAGAATGCCTTTCCCAAAGCCATATTGTTGTAAGTGTATAAATTTGTCATTTCCATAAACACAGCAAAATTTTCACTTGTAAATAGAAAGCTTAGAGAGTTATATATTTTCCTCTTGTTTTGTGAGGTTCATAGGCCACTGGAAAAGTTTATATGCATATTAACTTTAAATGGGAACCCAAATTTTAGCGTGTTTTTATCTTCTTCCCTCTCATAAACCAGCTGACAGAAATTTTGACAAAACGTACACAATTTTATCTGCATATGATTTTTGGGGTGGGAGTGTGATTTTTAGTGAAATCTGGGATTATTTGTTCTGTGTTTTTGTTTCTATCTCTCTTAGGTTTTATCTAGCCACAAAAGAAAATTATGAAACAATCCATCGCAAAGCTCAGCCAAGGATCTAGTCCAGTTGCTGGCTAGTTCATGGTTACCGGAAATTCACATTTACGCTTCTTTGCTCTTACTCACCAAAACCATACATATCAAGCTAAGATGTGTAGTTCTCCATGACTGTGATCTCTGATGGGTTCTGTTGAAGCTAGCATTGCTGCATTCTAATTTTTGATTTTTGGGGTGGGAGTGTGTTTTGTAGTGAAGAGGACTTCACTACAGTGAAGTGAAGTGTAGTGAAGCCTGGGACTTCACTACAACACTATAACAGTCTGACAACAGTTTCTGATTCAGTTGTTCTTTGCTACAATGACTATCTGATGCTAGACAGAGGTCAAATTCAACCTTTAAATTCAATGTTGAGAGAAGAAACTTTTAATTCTGAAGTCATCTGGAAGGAAAGCTGCATTGGTGCTCTTGACTTATTTCAGAATTTCTGACAGCGATGATTAGAGTAAAAGGTTATCAAACTAGTGTTATTAAAATTATGCACATGTGATTGTATTAAAGGTTTAATTTTTTAAAACTCCATTTATTAAGAAAGGAAGGCAAATGAAAAATGTCCAAAACTCTCCACATAGATTATGTTAAAATATTGAGTGTTCATAGCACCCAAAAGGAGAGAGAGAACAAAAGGGAGTGCCGTGCCACAGAGGCAGGATGGGATGACAGGATAAGGGGGAGCAGGGGTACTGGGATCAGTGGTGGTGAAAAATGGGCACTGGTGGAAGGATGGGTACTCGATCATTATACAACGGAAACCCAAGCACAAAAATTTGTAAGTCTACAACTGTACCTCATGGTGTTTCACTAATAAAAAATTATTGAGTGTTATAAAAAAAAGGGACATATTCCCCTTGGAGCATGAAACCAAAGTGCATGCTTTGTTGATTTACTTTTTAAAAGATGGTGTATGTCCATTCCCCCAGAGTTTCCCTGCCTAACAGATGGAAAAAATGTCCTTTAGTCCCAGTCTTTCTTGAGTACAACCTAGGTCATTAGAGATTTGACTCTAAGTCTATGGAAACAAAGAAATAACTAAAAATGTGCCAACCAGTGCAATAGTGTCCCTGTTTTCGCGTCAAGGCTGCACATGGAGTGCTTGGGAAAGTCTTGGAGGTAAAAGCACTTCTTTGAATTAAAAAAATTAAGTGAACAATGGAACAAAACCAAGAAACTTGAATAATCCCATTCTAAATCATTTGTCTTTGGTCGCTTTGGGTCACAGACCCTCTGGGTTAGCACAAGATTGATTGAATGAGAGTTTTCAGAAATTTGCACAAAAGTCATCATGGTGCTCAGAATTGACTCATAATGAACCATCTGAGCCTTTAGAATTAGAGACCCAGAGGGAGCACATGATTGCTGCCAAGGACACAGGAAGTCTTTTGAAAATTTTTGGTCCCACCAGGCAATGCTCAGGGGTTACTCTTGGCTTTGCACTCAGGAGGACTCCTGGTGATGCTCACAGAATTATATGGGATGCTGGGAATTGAGCCCTGGTCAGCCTTCTGCACAGCAAGCTCCCTACCTGCTCTACTATATCTCCAGCCCATAGAAAGAGTCTTGATCAGCCCTAGACACATAATCACAGCTTCCCCATATCACAATGGACATCCCATTTAATATAGTGGAAGAATTATGCTGGAGTGCCCTCTGGCCTTCCCAAGGTTTATATAATCCAAGCATTTCTGTGCAAAGAATTTGTTCTGCATCATTTTGCTATTTAAGTCAAAGACTTGGATGGATGGTCAGGCTTGGAAAGAACACAGATATCTAAATTTGACAAAAGAGGGAGTACTTGTAACTTTGGAATCACCCAAACCACGGTTTTTTTTTAACTCTTCTCTCTCTCTCTCTCTCTCTCTCTCTCTCTCTCTCTCTCTCTCTCTCTCTCTCTCCTCTGTCTCTCTTTCTTTCTCTTTCTCACTCTCTCCATGCACACACACACACATACTTAACAGCATTGTGTACATTGAAGCCCTTCAAAGCACCAAGCTTATGCTGTTTACAGAACTTCCTCCTACTCTCTCTCTCTCCTCCATACTATTGAGAGTAATCACTTGTTCTTTCTGCCTTGGCAGTCCCTGTGGCCCTTTAATGGTAGAAAAGAATAAGGGAAGATGAATTAGAGATAAGGTGAGAGTGTAAAATCTAAAGCAGGGAAAGTAAGCAGTCTGGGAGGAATTTGGAAAACATGATAGAGTTAATGTTTCCATTTCGTGAAAAGTTAAAAACAAAACAACAATCACCACCACTTCACACACCTTTTCATACATTTGTTTCCATGCTGCAAAACAATTGGTGTGATGAGTTTGATTTTTCCATGGAAACACCTTATGTTTCATGTCACAGACACAAGCAGAAATGAAAAATCAGATGAGAAGGGATCTGGGTCTTTGCCCTGGTCTCTTTGCTGCTAGACTCAACCACACAAATATCCAAGATTCCACTGATTTTGATTCCAGAAATGGCGATTTCGTATGCTTTAGCTTGATGCATGTATGAGCAAGCAAGATTGGTGATGGAGAGTGTGAGTGGGTCATACTGGACAGAAATGCATCTTAACCACTTTGAGGATTACAGCGATTTTCTTCTTCTTGAAGATAGAGTGATGACGAAATCTTAGTTTGTGTGCCAGATTTTGGAGGGGGGTTGAGGGCCCATTCGCTTAGAGAGGTGCTTGAATCTCTCCAGCAGAACTGGGGCTGTAAAGTACTGCCAGTAATCCTCAGCCTGCTACTTCTGAGTCAGTGGCATGATATTGTTCTTCTATAGGGCCCGTTCTTTTATCATTGGCTGGTTGACAAATTATAGAAATTCTGGAAGACATTTTTCCTCAAAGATGGTTAGATTTTCTTTGGGCAACAGACAGAAGTTTCCCTTGCAACTAGTTTACCTTGAGGTTTTAAAGAATTCTCTAAAGTTTTGCCTTTCTGCTTTTCAACAGAAAGTCCTAGGTGTTTGTAACCCCCTCCAGCTTGGCCGACTTTGTGAGGATAAGTAACTCCTGAAATCTCTGGAAGTAATTTAGTCCCCTCTGTTGCTTTCCACTAGGGATTTTGTCTCTGTTCCTGTCTCTACATATGTGATTAAGGCATTCACTAATGACTTCAGGGAGTGATCTGTATTGAGAATTTAGGGCCCACACCGTGTTAATGAACTCCCCCTTAATGAACCAGGATTAATTCCTGGTTAAAGCCCTGAGCTCTGACCTCTGTCTCTAATTCCATATGAATGCCATTTTATACTTATTTTTTTCTTTCCATTCAGCATTGGAAAGAATTAGACATTTCCCTTCGGGGAAAAATGAGATGAAGCATCCCTAGTCCTCATTCCTTCCTTCAGGGTTGTATCTTGTCCAATTTTTGTATGCTTTGGTAATTATTATCAGGAAGGTTTAATTGAACAGAAAGCAATTTTGTCACGATTACACTAGTATACCTTTTTTTTTCTTCTTATCTCTTTCTCTTGTTTTCTATTTTTTTTTTCTATTTATGTAGCCACTTTCAGGGACCTTAATAACCTCAATGCTGTAAAGGCTCATAACATGACTTTACTATTGCCAGCTATTTCTAAATTCTTGCCAACACATTCAAGTAAGTAAGCAGATTTATTTACTGGCTTCAACTAGTATGCCTTGACAAGGATTTTAGTAGCACATTGAATTCAGAAGAGTAAGACAGAAGATTTCAAATTTGACATGATCAACTATTTATTTAATGATGCAAATAGATCGGGAGGATTATGGTATTTGTGTTGGACTAAACGTTAGGTTCCACGGCTGGAGCCATTTTGAATATGTTTGGAAGGTTGGGAGGCTGGGAAGGGCTTGGCTTGCTGACCTTTGGTTTCCTTGGCAGAAAGAGCATTTTGGGACAGCAACCCATTCCTAGAGCAGAGACTCAGAATATTTGTAAGATGTAACATCGACACTTTCAAATCTGCCTGCATTTGATTTTTACAATGCTTCTTCCTGCTGGGAATTCATTTTCAGTCAGTGTCTGCTAAGAAGCTTGGATCAGATTCTCGGAATACAGAAATTTGATTCCGCCCAGGTGACTGGAAGAAGAAAACAAATATTTTTCTGTTCATGCAGGGCCCTGAAGAGTGAACTCTACCAGAATTCTGGTATTGGAAGTCTGGTATGCATGTTTTTAAGTTCAGACCAAAAGTTGGTACCCTTCGAATATTTAGCTTGGCCAAAGAAAGACAAAACTGTAGAAAGGGGTGTTTGAAGTCAGTTCCAGAAATGGAACACAAAGCTGGGATAAGAACAACATTTTAAGCAAGACCTTAAGTGACAGTGGCAGTTTTGAGGAATCTTTCTTTCTTTCTCTCTTTCTCTCTTTCTTTCTTTCTTTCTTTCTTTCTTTCTTTCTTTCTTTCTTTCTTTCTTTCTTTCTTTGTCACACTTGGTGATACTCAGGGGTTACTCCTGGCTCTGCACTCAGGAATTACTCCACCACTCTTGGTGGTACTCGGGGGACCATTGTGGGATGCCAGGGATCAAACCCAGGTTGGCCTCATGCAAGGCAAAAGCCCTACCTGCTGTGCTATTGCTCTGGCCCCTTGAGGAATATTTTTTGAGATTTGTTGTTGTTGTTGTTGTTTCACCCAGTGGAGCTCAGGACTTACTCTTGGCTCTGCATACTCTGAGGCCATTCCTGGCAGGCTTAGGGAACCATATAGTGTTCTGGGGATGAACCCATGTTGGCCATGTGCAAAGCAAGCACCCTATTTACTGTACTATCTCTCTGGCTAAGAATTGTTTTTGATTTTGAAAAAGTGTCCTAGGAATCTTGTATATTTTCTTTTAAAGTTGGAGACATTTTGCAATGTTCTAAAACAGGTGGCAAACAACAAACAAAGCCTTTATAAAGGCTTTGCTTTTTCCCCTGTAGGGACGGCTTCCTCCCTACAGGGGAAGTCTTCATCTCCATCCTTTATTTATAGCATTTTTTATAAAGGCTTTTTTTAAAGATAAGAATAGCTACTGTTCTAGAAGGTAGGAAGTGAAATGAGTTCTCAGCCCCAAGATTTCTTGCTCCAGTTGTATGTGTGGGGCAGCGAGTGAACTTTTTTAGTACATAGCATGAACGTTGATTTGTTTTTCTTATCATGAATCAAGAGCACCCAATTTAATAATTTAATTTTTGATTTTGTGTTTGGGTCATACCCCGTGGTGTTTGGTGGTACTCCTAGTTCTGTGCTCAGAAATCACCCCCAGTGGTGCTCATAGTTCATGTAGTACCTGGGATTCATTACGGGCCTCCTGCTTGTCAATTGTGGCTGCAAGGCTCGGCAAAGGACAGATTAATAGGTCCAATTTTACCTGTAGTTCTTGAAATTTTTATCTTCTTCCTGGAGTGATAGCACAGTGGTAGGGCGTTCGCCTTAAAAGCGGCCAACATGGCCGACCTGAGTTCGATTCCTCCACTCCTCTCGGAGAGCCCAGCAAGCTACCAAGAGTATTTGATATGCCAAACACAGTAACAACAAAGTCTCCAATGGAGACGTTACTGGGCCTGCTTGAGCAAATCGACGATCAACGGGAGGGCCTTTACCTTTACCACCTTCAGCTAGTCTAGTAGCAGCTAAACAGAAAGTTGAGATCAAGAAATTAGACAGGGCAGTCCAAAGGACACATATATTTATATATTATATATATTTAGGAAAGGATATATATTATTATAATTATTATATATTTTATATATATTATATATTTAGGAAGGGATATATTTATGAGGACTGGCTAATTACTCTAATAAGGTCATCAAATACTGTCATAATATTTGGGGATTAAGGCACTTTCCTGCTGTATAATGATGATTAAATGGAGGTCCACAGGATCTCACCATTCTACAAGGAAGTGATCACCAAAGCCAAGAGAGAAGTTCAGCAGGGTGATACCATTTCACCAAAACTCTTCAGTGCCACCCTCAAGAACGTCATGCGATGACTGGAATGGAAAGGAATGGGAGTGAAGATAGACTGCTGGCAACTACACCACCTCCACTTCACTGATAACACCAAACATTAGCCACGCAGCACAAATGATGGCCAACTTTGACCGTGAGTGTGGAAAGGTTGGACTACAGCTGAATCTCACGAAGACAATGTTTATGAGAAACGAACTCATTCCTGATGTTTCATTCACTCTCAATCGAATGAACATCTCCGAATGCAACAGTTATGTGTACCTAGGTTGAGGACTCAACATGGCGAATGACCTGGCACCTGAGTTCGCAGGAGGAAGAGAGCAGCATGGAATGCTTCAAGATAGCTAAGAGGATGAAGAACCTCTGGCTCCGGGCACATCTCTTCGACTCCACCGTTTTTCCTGCATTAACATATGCCTCAGAGACCTGGGTCTTACGAAAACAGGATGAGAATGCTATTCGGATCTTCCAAAGAGGAATCAAAAGAACTATGCTTGGAGTATCACGCTTCACTCAAGTGAGAGAAAAAAATCCAGAGTTCTGACCTCCTTCGATGATCAAGAATCAGGGACGCTGTCTCATTTACCAAGGCATCGAAAATCAGATGGGTTGGACATGTAATGCGATTTGGAGACAGCCATTGGACTAGAGCCATCACCGACTGAATTCCAAAAGATTGCATGGCTGCCCACCTATGAGATAGTCAGAGTTCTTCATCAAGACCCTGAATGATCGGTTTGAGGCTCTTCATGCTCCTGCAGTGAGCAGACGCCATTGGGCTACACTAGCACGTGACAGGGACGAATGGAGATGTTACTGGCACCCGCTTGAATAAATCAATGAGTAACGGAATGTCAAGTGATCAAGTGATGGGCTTGGATGAAAGAAATTGAAATCTTAATTTTTATATCTCAGTTAAGCATTGACACAGATCTCACCAAATGAATATAGTTTTTTGCTAGTAAGCAATGAATTGTTTGTTTATGAACTGCAAAATGTATTGCTGAAGGAGATGAGAACAAGGTACCTTATAAAGAAACCGAAGAAAAGAAAGTGTGCAGATGGTGTAAGTTGATTGCAAAATAACAGGAAGAAGAGAGGATACGGTTATGACGTAAAACACAGACTTCAGAGGCAAGAGCAGAACTGTGAAGAAATAATCTCAGCTGTCAGAGCACTTTTTAGATCATGCAATTTGTCTAGGAACTTGTGTATGGCTGGAAATTCTTTTCTTACTTGTTTTGGGGTCATACCTGGCAGTGCTCCGGGCTTATTCCTGTCTCTGTGCTCAGGGATCACTCCTGGCTGGCTTCAGGAATCCTATGGGGTTCCAGGGATTGAACCCAGGTCTGCCACTTGCAAGGCAAACACCCAACCCACTGTACTGTCTTTCCATCAATCTTAAGGGTTCTTGTCTGGCCCAAGGAAGGCATTTCAGAGTATTATGATGAAGTCAGTTTATGTCTACACTTTATCATGAACAATGCATCGTAATTTTCTGGCCTAGGGGTGGGGAGTACATCTTTTTTGTTTTAATAAATATCAGACTTTTCTCTAAGGCTTTGATTACTAATATAGTTTCAAATTATTTTTGTTCAGGTACCAAGTGAATTTGATTTTCTATCTTTGAGGCCTTAGATTTTATTGCTGGCCATACAGTGAGCATGCCCCTTTCGATGTGTATACTAGGAAGCCAAAACTGCAGGGATGTTTGCCAATGGGATACTGTTCTGGAACTCTCTGACCTTACACCCTCCTCTCCCTCCATTAATCTAGTTGCTGCCTTTTATACTTTGCATGTGCTATGCATGCTCTTATGGCAGCGCCGTCACCTTGACCTGGTTTCTTTTTTTCTTGCAGATTCCTCTACCTGGTTAATATCTGTCACTGTCTTCCCGTTGTTCATCGATTTTCTCGAGCGGGCCCAGTAACGTCTCCAGTGTGAGACTTTGTTGTTATTGTGTTTGGCATATCAAATACATCATGGGGAGCTTACCAGGCTTTGCCGTGCGGGTGAGATACTCTCGGTGGCTTGCCAGGCTCTCCGAGAGGGGCGGAGGAATCGAACTCGGGCCGGCCATGTTGGCTGCGTGTAAGGCAAACGCCCTATCCGTTGTGCTATCGCTCCAGCCCACCTGGTTAATATGCCCAACTTATTTAAGTTTTGGTCCAGAAAGTACTTGATAGATTTACATTAACCACTCTGTAAGAGACAGATGAACTCTATTTGGCCTTGACTCTCAATACTCCTTCCTGTACCTTTTATTTTTCCTTCAGACACCTCACCATTTAAATTGTCCTCTGCTTATTACAGCCATTGCTAATTGGTTAACGTGTTCATTTACAAATGCTGAGAGAACAGGGATTTTTAATTTGTTATACTTCATAAGTATTTCTAAATAACTGGTGAATTAACAACACTTTCTTTTTTATATATATATAATGTAGGAGTACTGCTCTTTGATTAAGCTGATTGAATTGGGCATGAACTCCACATTACTTTTTTTATTCAGAACGTTAGTTTTATTTTATTATTTTATTATTATTCTTTTCCTCCCCATTTTATTGATTCACCGTGAGATAGTTACAAAGCTTTCATGCTTGAGCTTCGGTCATACAATCATCAAACACCCATCCTTTAACCAGTGTACATTTTCCACCACCAAAATCCCAAGTATCCCCCCT